GAAGTGTGATTCGTACCTTTACCTTCGGAAATTAGATTACTCCCCTCGAATTGTTTCAAATTAAAGGTGAAACAATTCATTATGCATCTGCCTTTACTTTCATCAACTACAGTTCCATTGAAAATACGTGTAGTTGTAGTGTATAGAATTGATTTACCTAATCCTACCCAATAATCATATTTACTGTATCTAATGTCAATTGTTTGGTACATGGATGCATTTACAGAATTACTAGCCCAAAAATAACATTTGTCACCATTAAACTTTGCACCATCACTATCAGTTAAAATACCACCAATGGCTGAATAGGATATACGTATAATATTTCCTTCTGTGACATTCCATTTCGAAGTTGATTTAAGTGTTTTTGTATCATTCGTACAATCATCTCCTTGCTCAGCATTACCATTCAAAATCAAATTTGCTTCCGATATTTTTCTGTTATTCGGCAATGTGGCCAAATATAAAGAACTTGCACGATCTAATTGTTCCTGAGAAATATTTGCTTCACTCAGATTAGCATGAGCGAAATTAGCACCATAAAGATCTGCTCCAGTGAAATCTGCCCGTTGTAGACTTGCATTGTAAAAATTACTCGAACGTAACCGAGAGTATCTAAAATTTGCATTTCTTAAATTACAGCCACTTCCAAAGTTCGATTTTGACAAGAACGCATTAATAAATGATGCATTGATCAGTGATATACCACTTAACTGAATTCCCATCAAATTCCTCTTAAATGAGTCTGAACCCAGATGCAGATTATTTAATTCTGCTCCAACTAAATTGATTGAATTTTTCCAGTCACTAATCAGTCTGCTTTCATAAAGAAACTGTATCAAATAGGCGTTCCGCTTTCCATCCAATTGTCGAACCGCTGTTAGTGTTTTAGCTCGAATAACGATTGATGCTGTACTTCCCTTCATAAATGTTGTGTTCTTCAATATTAGTTGTGACACGTCTTTAAAATAATTTTCAAGTATATTTTCTTTCTCTCGATTCTCAGCTATTCGTAAATCTTGTGTGCGGTGACTAGCAGCTTTCTGTATTTCTACTACCGCTAGAACTATTGTAAATACACCGATCATAAGTGGAACGAGTAGAGAGGAAATAAAATGTAAAATATGTTTTATCTTCACTTTGTGAAAGCGCAATTTTTGCATTTTTCGATCTTGACCATAGGAACTTGTCTTCTTATCTTTGGTGATGTGACAGTCGTCTTGTTCAGTAGACATCTAGAAACAGAAGATAGTCATTAAGAATACGATGC